ATCAGCATATTCTTAATTATATAATTTTATAATCTTGTAAAATTCTTCTTTTATTAGATAAGTAATAAAAAAAAAAATTTTTGTTATATATATTAAAAAATAGTAATATCGATTATGAAAAATAAAATTAGGTAGAAGTCGATTGATCGGCGAAGATTCTGATTGGCTAACATTAAATGCTATTTGTATTTTATTATTAAAAACTTTAAAAAATGACTTGACTTATTTAATAAATAAATAAATATAACATGAATAATCGTGTTTTTAAGGTTAAAAATCGGTCTAACCAATGTTCTTAATAATAATTTTTGTAAATAGTATTGACTAATTAAATCGATAACTGTTCCTAACGCTAATATATATAATAGATAAAATTTGATAGTTCATACTAACATGCGATTTTTACCATACTACCCGAGATTGTTTTCAATTTACATACTGATTGAACTTATAGTGCCATTTTAATTTTCATTCCCTGCCATTAGTCCGATCATCGATAAACCATTGTTGGTTTATCTCACTGCATTTGAAAATTTGTGTTCCAATCCGAGTCAATCAAACAAATGATTTACTATTTATATTAAATAAAAAAAAAAACGGAAGTTTTTATAACAGCTTTCAGGTTTATGCTTATATTAATAATCTACTCGGAGAAAAACTTTTTAACTTGTATTTTATCATTAATAAGTTATATATAAAATAAACCCTCCGAGAATTTACATGTCAAGGTTCGTGTTTACTGACGTTACCTAAAAAGTGGAGTCAAAACTCTAGCTATTTTTGTTCATATTACTTTAAATGAATATTATCCAAAATTTTTTTGTTTTTCAGTATCACACTAATGAATAGCAACAATGATATTTCCAAAATATTACGAAAACAAAATCAATGGACGATAGACGATTTAAAAAATGATATTGATGAGATTCCATATTTGTCACCTGTAAATATAACCACAAACAATCAAGATGAATCATTCGTCGGTAATAATTCAGGAATTCTATATAAAGACAATATTTTATCAGATACAGGATCAAACATTTCTTCTTTTACTCCTCGTAGAGAAAGTTTTGCGTTATCAGATTCAGAATCATCAACATCATCATTATTAATACCATCAAATATAAGGAGACGAGCACTTTCTACATCTTCAAGGCCAAAAGATAGATATTCAATGCATGAACTTGGATCTGCTAAAATTGATGATAATAGTCTTACTAGAAAATTTTTATCACCAACAAGACACAGTATGGCTTTTGATAATGGATTTAGTATTAATAATATGCTAGTGGAAAATAATTCATTTGAGGATCGTGAATGGAATATAGATCGTGAGAGAATTGGTAACGCTGGTAAAGGTTTCGGGAATTTAATTAATGATGAAAGTAGAAAAGGTAAGTAAGATTATTAATTATATATTGCAAATTCCTTGAATGAATAATAATTTTATTTTATTATATTTATTAGGATCTATTGCTGATTTAATCGCTGATGTAAAAGATGAGGATGCTGTCGAGTTAGCATTGATTACTCAAAGAAATGCGGATCAAAAAAATCGAATACATCATACTGAAATGGACATTGAAAAAGATAATACAAAAAAAGATGGTAAAAAAAATTTCGTTAAGATACATATTTTTGAAATAATTTATTAATTCATCCCCCCTTTTTTTTAAAAAAAAGGAAATTTAAATATTAGATTTCATCCTTCGGAAACAACTTTATCAAATTCCAGAATGTGTAAACAATTTCTTGAAAATAAATATCATGTATTATTCAAAATAATTAATAATAACGGAGTATATAATCCTTTACAAATTATTAAAAATAGAAAATTTGATATTGCAAGTGATGGGGCGAATCATAGTTTGGGATCAAATGAAAAATCTAGTGGAGGAAGTAGTAGCAGATTAATTTCGAATATAATAAAACCGCGTAAAGCGTTACTACATCACAAAGAAACGAGTATTTGGGATTTATCACATATGGAAATAATTAAGGACTATGAGCAAATAAATAAATTTGATCAAGTTCTTCTTAATAAACAAATGAGTAGTGATAATGGCTATGAAACTAATAGTGAAGTTGGTATATATATTAATAATAATGTGGCATCTGAATCTGATGAGCATAAAAAACGATTGAAATATCGCCGTTTATCGCAAATATTTATTCCTCCAACACATGAAATGCAAGCTATGAGCCCACAGGGGGGAATTAGAAGTAATAGCGGACAACCGAAAAAGACAACCCATTCTAGAGCTTTGAGTTTGAATAATATAGCAGCTGCATCCCAAGGAAAGGAAGATTCTCATGGTAAATCAAAAAGATGGTCAATACATTTGTTCAAACGAAAAGATAAGAAACATAAAAATGAATCAAGTTCATCCGATATTAGCATTATACAGGAAGCACCAGACTGTTCCATAACATCGCAAACGAACGCTAAAAGTTCATCTGATTCATCTTCAGGTGATCAAACTTCCCGTAATTCAATGGAAGAAGTCCGATTTTCATCTGAGAAAGGCAAAGATCCACTGCGATATGAAGATAAAACATATAAGGATGAGGAAATATATTACAAAAATGGGGTTAAGCATGAAAAAATTATGTCGAAACTATCCGGAGATAAGAATAACGATCAACTTTCAGTTGATGATTGGTCAGATATTGCACAAAGTCGCGATTCGGAAGATACCGACAACAGCATCCATTCATCAACCATACATTCGGTAGATTTTGAATCGGTAATTTATCGTAATGTTCTTAATTTTTATTTAATTTCTATTTATATATTTACTAATTATTTGGAATTAGGATGTGGTCGTCAATGATGCGGTTGATGTTTCAAGACGAAATACTGCGGGATATTTAAACGTCGAGGACCATTACGGTAAATTTCTTGGAGATGAACAACATGTTGACAATCGTTTATCTCGTTCATCAAGTGAGAACAAAACAGCCGAAGATAGCACAGGATCAGATGGTAAATGAATAAAGATCTTTGCAGCCGATTTTGAAATATTTATTAACGTATTTTATACTGTAGAAGAATATGAAGAAGAAATTGTTGGTAAAACAATTGTTGGTGGTGAGACGGTCCTTGTGAATCTTGATATATTACCACAGGAGCTCGTAGATTTAGTGGCCGAGCAAGGCATTGTCGGTTGTAGTACCAAGAATGGACACTTCGGTAAGTTAAATATACTATAACAAATTCATTGTTGACTTTATACTCAAAACCAATTTTACTTTCAGTTGAATTGGACGTCGGATTAAATGAACTTTTCAAATTTCGTAAATTAATTGGTTATGGTGGTAAGTATATTAAGATAATATATCAAAATGGATTTATATGCTAGCTAATTTTTACTACTTTAGTTGACTTGCTGGACCTTCAGATATCACTTGTATATGATGATCCTGAAGATGGCAGAAGGTATTTGGAACCTATATTTTTAAATGACTTCAACATATAAAATATTCATTAACATACAAAATTTTAGTCTATACCAGCAAGATGCGGATAAAATAATTAAAGAATATGATGAACGTATTGAAGAGACAACTAAATTTTTAGAAGAAAATAAGGTTTAGTTTAATGATATTTGTTTTTAACGTATGTATCGACTGTTAAAAGAATTTTTTATGAAAATTATTTTATAGATGTTACTTACCGAGAGAGACGATTATATATCAAAAAATTCTCGTACATTTGAACACCTTGACGTTCCATTTGTCCTTTCACCAACATCGAATATTCGAGAATTTACCTTTGATAAAATTAATCGACACAATCCATCACCTTCACAATCGATAATGGCTGAATGCAAGTTGAACATTGATGAAGGAATCGAATTATTGAGTGATAAACTAGTCAAAATTGAAAGCAAGATGAATAAGCTAGAAAAACAACATTCTAAGTAATTACTTTTGTTTTCTGATGAGAGAAAAAAAAAAAATATGGCAAAATTTTATTGATAATTTATAAATCATTTATTAAAAGTTTTTCGGAAGAAATGAGAAGCATGCAATATGAAATCGAAGAGATGACATCAGACATCAACAATGATTATTTCCATGAGGTAAGTCATTTATTATTAAACTATTTTCACGTTAATAATAATATATAATAATAATATTATATTAATGATTTATAGTTGAAAATTCTTGAAGATGAAATTCATCTTTTAATAGCTGAAAAAGGAAAGTCCCCTTGGATTGATGTATTTTATTTGATGATGAGTTATGTGTTAGCGGGTAAATTCGATTAATTAAATAAATAAATCTATATCTATCCGTATATTTTTTAACCAAGCCTTTAATACTAATTTTATTCATTTATTGTTAGGTATTATGTTTATGTTCTGGTTTATTGTTGCTTGCGTAAAATTATCTAAGAAGATATCATTATTTCCTCGAAGAATGTGGAGATCAGTTCGTCGAAATGTTGCATAAATAAAGAGTGAAGGGATTTGTTAGCAGCTTAAATAGTTTTATTTTTATTTTTAACTTTCTACAATATTTATTTTCAATTACATCAAGTTTTCATTGCATTTGCATTATTGTATAATTATTAATTACGGTGTATTTTTAATAGCTCATTTGTTTTATTATAGAATATATTTTTATTACATTATTTATTTATTAGCATCTATACAATTTCATAAATAGGGAATACTATGTTATTATTATTTTATTCAATTCATAACTTTTACAATCATAGCATTAATTTATTTATCTTTAAGGATATGACAAAATTCTTCTTTATATACAAATCATTATTTAATATAACCAAGCAAATTTCCATTAACTAATTATACTAAATTGAAATTTTTCTTTTAAAATCAAATTCTTTTATAAATTCATCTCATCAATATTCTTATTAGTGAAAATTCCATATAACTCACTATTTTTCAGTATAATATCCCTATCAAATTGATAATTAATATTTAGAATAATATCATAAAATCTTTCCCTGGGACCATAAATTTTATGATTTAATTCCCAGGAAACTTCGGGTATAATTGATGTAAGTATTCACCAATTTCTTCCCCAAATTTATCTAAAAGAAAATATCCTATTTTACCGAAGGGTGATAACCATTTTAATAACGTTTTACTTAAATTGTCGTGATTGTTCATGGGTTTTGGTTTTAAATTAAGAGAAGTTATACCATTTGATATTGAAGTTTCTTGAGAAAATGTTATCGTAAATATAGTATTAAATTTTTCTACATTTATTTCAGATAAAGTTGTACAGATTTCTACTATTGATTGTTTTAATATTAATATAAAATTATCTAATTTGTTTGAAACCAATTTTGCAATCGGCGAAGTTTTGGTGGATGACATCGAGGCTAATACATTATCATTTTGAGAATGTTGTGGTGTTTGGGGAATTTGAAAATAATCAAATTCTTCTTCTAATTCTTCTCTAGAAAAATATTCGGAGCCTAATTATAAAAATAACATTAATTTCCTTGTAAATATAAAAAAAGAGGAAAAAAAAAAAATTTGACTTACCAGGTTCTGGCCACATAATTTTATTTTTACGGTAAAATTGCAAAATATAACGAAATAATTCACCATCCCTATCAATAAAATATTCATTTCCATTTGTAGGGTGCAATAATGCTTTATTGCGTTCTTGAAACATTATACCAAGTAAAGTTGTTGGATATGCCGTTAAAGTTGATCTATATGTTTCATACTTCAAAATACGGGAAAATTTTTTTTTTGGTTTAGACGGGAATATTAACTTTTTTTATAAATTAATTTATCGTACCTTAACACCGCCTACATTTAAAATTATTCGTTCTCCTAGAGATTCTGGAAATTGGTTTAATGAAAGTTTTCGCGAGTTCATTTTTTTTTTTTTTTAGGAATACGTTTTCTTTAATCGATGTTTATATTGAATAATTTTTTTTTTTATCAAATCTTGTATTTTTTGATAAGAAATAATATAAGGGGGGATTACTAAAGACTCATGGATACATCCTTATTTTTTATATTCGATCAATTTCGTGCTATCCAAAATAAAACGAATACAGTCCGGGGGATTTCTAAAAAAGGATCTAGTATAACAGAACCTTGACCGAAGTATTCTTTACCTCAAATTTGGTTTTAAGAGTTTTTTTCATTTAAATATGCAAAGAACTTTTTAGTAATGCAAAAGCAAAACTTAAGATAATACTTTACCATGTTTATTTTCTATTCTTATTAAGAAATATTCCCATTAGAAATAATAATGATAATATCAGGAAGAACAGTATTTGAACAAATAGGTCCCTTTGCTAAGTATTTTCCAGAATTAGTACCATTAGCGAATCTTTGAAACATTATTTTTTCTGTAAATGATATTATAATCATATTCTGGAGTTTTTAAAAAGAGTAGATAAACCAATGCATACTACAGTCTACCCACTCCAAATGTACCCTCTCTAAATGCATATACTATATATTTTCTCTCTAAATGCACGCTCTCGTTCAATCTCAAGCATATAGAAATAATATAAAAAATTTTCTCTTTAAATGCACACCTTCTTTAGATGCACATTTTTTAAAATTTCACTTTGGTCCCAAGGGAACGTATTTAGAGAGAGTTGACAATTGATAAATTAAAAGCTGTAACTTTACCGGCATAACGTACCCAAATCCAACAAATATTTTATATTAGATAAACGTTATAAATTAGACTTGGAAGTTGTACAGGGGGGTGACAAAAGTATTGCACGGTCAAGAATTAGACAATTTTGTAAATTTTAATAAGTAACTGAGCTATATAACATATTAGCTAACTATTACCTAATGAAACATTTTGTTCATTGTTTGGTTTAGAGTAATGCATAGTGTAAAATCTTATTTTGAAAAAATCTCTACTTTTCAATACTTCGCACTTTATATGTTCTCGCTAAAGGATCAGCTTTTAGCTTTTTTTTTGCTTTAATAATAGCATTTTAGCCTTTTAACGAAAATATAATGCGCAATGTTAAAAAATAGAGATTTTTTAAAATTCGATTTTAAGAATTGCAACATATTAAATTAAACAATTCATAAAAATATTTCATTAATGCAATAGATGTTCAAAATGATTCTAATAAAATATGGCTCAGTTATTAATGAAAAATTTACTCAATATCTCATTTTCGATCGTGCAATATTTTTGTATATAATTAATTTATATAAATACGAAGCCTAAAAATCAAGTTCACTAGTAGTTTTACCTAAATACTGGCCTGATTATCTCCTGAGTTTATCCTATTAGTTTATTTTATTTCATTTATTTTTATTATTTTCTTTTCTTTTATTCTAATTATTACATTTATTCTCTTATCAATAAACCTATTTTAAAATTGAAACTACCTTGAAGTTTTAAATATTTTCATTAAAGATTATATTATTATAAGTTGCTACTTGATTCAAAAAAAAAATACTAATTTTACATTATGTCTAAATACTGCAGTTTATAAGAACCCATACATGAATAGCCTTATATTACAATTATCTGTTTTTAATTTCAATATCAATAAAATATTAAAATTATAAATAAATATTAGCAAATAATTAATGAATTAAATTTCAAATCAAAGAATTAAAAGAAAACTTAGATATTTAATTAAATTTATTACAGCTATAATAGAAATTGCATAAATTTAATAAATGATAAGCTTTAAATAATTTTTGAAGTATTTAATTTTTTAATAGTTTAATAATAGTAATTCAATTGTTATTAAATGTATAAAATCTCTTATAAATTATAATAATAATAAAAAAAATTTTAAGAAAATAATTTTTCAAATATATTGAAATAGTTGATATATTTATAAAGCAAGATACTTAAAAAAAAATATTTTTTACAGTGCAAAACCTTTATAATAGAAACTTAAAAAAACATTAATAAAATTTAATCCACTGATTGGATTTTCATCAAATAAAAAAATTGATTTATATTTATAAAAATAAATCAATTTATAAAAAAAGTTTTTTTTTTCAATTTTGTAAATTATGTAAACATTGTATAATATATTATAAGCTAATCAAAAACTAGAATTAAAATCATATGAAATAATTTATTTTATTTTATTTATTATTTTATTATAAATTGCATCAAATATATGATGATAAAACTTATATTTTTTAGCTGTAAACTCTGCCATTTTTTTAGTAATACTTTTCTATAAATATTTATAAATCATTATGATTTTTATGCATATTTTTGAATTGTTATTAAAGGAACTGAATTTAATGCTTTAAAAATAATTTATTATAATTCTACCTATATGTAATTGCAATATTTTTGTGTATTTCTTTTGCTGTACTCTAATATATCTTTATATAATTTAATTTATAATAATATTTAAGTAAAATATATAAACTATAAAAGAATACATGCTTTTCAACTAGTTATTACTGAGGAAATCTAAAAAAGTCCCTAATTATATAATCTGAAAGCTTATCAGATATATAATTGATTACCTTAATCTCCATGACTTACTTCATAAAATCAGAACACACACAGGAAACTACAGAGGATAGACAAAATTTTTTGAATACTTTTTTTATTAAATATAAATTTATAATTCTTTAGTATTAATAGTAAAAGTTCTAATATTATTTTATTTAAAGCTATTAAGGCATACAATTCATATTAAGCTTTTAATACTTGATTTAGCCTTCCTTTACTACAATCATAGCCTGAATTTACTGTAGTATACTATTGACTAAATTTTCAATAGTTTACATCAGAATTTCTTGCTATGCCTTTTTAATATATCAGTTGAAATCAGCAAAATTCGATGGTAGTTTTTTACACAAATGTTTTTTTTAATCTTAGTTCATAAATTTTCAATTGGATTAAGATCAGGGCTTTGAGCTGACTAAGTTAATATAAGAAAACTATTTTTTGCCTGAAAATTTATTGCAACTTTTGATTTGTGCGAACGGGCATTATCTTCTTGAAACTAACCATCATTATTGAAAAATATTCATCTTATAGCTGGTATTACATATTTATAAAAAATGGTGATATATAATTTACCATTTGCTATTTCAGATAATGTAACAATTGGCTCTTTTTCCTTTTGAGAAAAATAGTCTAATACATACAGCTTAGACTATACTTTACTGTAGCTGATACACAGGATAAATCTACTCATCTGCTGATTCTCGCCATACTTTGCTATTATGATTTTATTAAAATTGAAAGAAGATTGATTTATCACTTCACATGATCTTTGACCAATCCTCTTTTATCTAAGTTTAGTGCTGTAAATACTATGTGAGATGTGTCTCTATATTCACTAATAAAATTAAAGGTTTTTTTCATACAATACAGTTTCTTAATCTAGTTAAATAGAGAACTCGTCTAATAGATACTGATACAAGTACTACAGGACTAAGTGCAGTACTTTCACAAAAGAACAATGAAGGAAAAGAATATCCTATTTGGTATGCAAGCAGAACATTAAGCCTAGCTGAAAAAATTACTATATTATTGAACAAGAAGCTTTAGCAATAGTATGGGCAGTTAAATATTTTAGGAGGTACTTAGAGGATAATATATTTATTATATACACCGATCACTCAGCATTGCAGTGGTTGTTGAATCAATTCACTAAAGAAAAAGATAGTAAAAGGATTATTCGTTGGAAGATTCTATTACAACAATTTCAATTTGAAGTAAAATATTGCAAAGGAAAGGCAAACGTGAACGCTGATACTCTTTCAAAGATTAATGAATTACAGGCACTAAATACATCATAAACCTTAATATCAATAATAGATCATGGATAAGCAACAATATTAAAACATAATTCAATACCTTGCTAACTTTACTTATCCAGAAAATTGCGATACTTTTCAACGAAAACAAATTCAATGATTATCAATCCACTACATTGTTAAAAATTCACAATTATATAAACCAACCAAGGAAGGATTAAAAAGGGTAATTACACAAGAACAAGTGGAAGTATTCTTATTTAACTTATACAAAGATATGTCAGGAGCTCATCTAAAAATTGAAGTGATATACAATAAGGCTAAAAAACAATATTATTGGCTACAAATATTTGAAGATATTAAAGAATATGTGAAAAATTGTGATAACTGCTAACGAAGAGAACCAAGTACCAGAAAAGAACTATTACATCCTATTTTAGTTAAAGTACCTTTTCATCAAGTAAGATTAGATATAAAAGGACCATTACTTATTACAAAAACAGGAAATAGATACATAATAGTTGCAATAGATTACTTTACAAAATGGCCAGAAGCTAAAGCCATTAAGGATATCAAGGCTGATACAGTAGCAAAATTTATATATAAAAAAGTGATATGCCAATATGGTGTACCTGAAGAAATACTCACAGATCGAGGAATATCATTTATAAATCAGATAATAGCATAATTATGTTAAAAGTTTTAAACGAAACATCAATTAACATTACCATACCGATCTCAAACAAATAAAATGGTAGAAAGATTTAATCAAACTATAAGAGAGTATTTAGCCAAATTAGTATATGATCAAGAAAATGAATGGAATACTTATATTTCATCAATATTATTCGCCTACCAAACAATAAAACATAAAAGTACAAGTTACACTTCATTTTACCTCATGTATTAATGACAAGCAATATTATCAATAGATTTGCAATTAAATTCTGTTGAAACAGATGAGCAAAATATTACTTTGATGAATAGATTAACAAATTTAATTGATAAATTAAAACAAAATAAACAGGATACACTCGATAACATGAATCAAATACAAGAATGACAAAAAGATCAGCATAATGATCAGTAAGTATCAGAAAGATTAAAAATTGGAAAGAAAATTCTAGTTGAGAAAATATAAAAATG